GTGTCAGATTTATTGTGGCCAAGAAGATGAAAACCAGCCACTATTAAGGAGGGTGTGTGTGTGCAGCATTCAGACATCAGAAAGTCTGAAATTATATGATCAACCCAGAGAGGTTGCTGGGTAGATGATAAATAAAGCATACGTTTAAGACAGAAGGGCTGAAAGCAGCCGGGGCGGGGAGAGAAACAAGCCCTTGAGCAGCAGCAGCACCTGCCCCTGCAGGAAGAGCGCCAAGCCAAAGATAGCGGGTGAATCCAGGTCATATGGAGAGGCTAGATGACAGTGAGCAGAGAGGTCGCTGACACAGGCTCAGAAATAGGGGGCTGGGGTGGGGCCCCGGGATGCAGCCCAGGGCACAGACCTTTCAGAGAAAGGAACTGGGAGTGATGCCCGTGTGACGAAGACCTGGGGAAACGGCCGAGAGGATGGAGAGAGGGACAAGCAGCGAGAGACACTGGAAACTGGCACTACTTCTGAGCGGACAGGAGGACTCTGGCCTAGGCCCATCGAGGCGGAGAGGCAGGTGACAGCTAACCACAACTCCAAGGCCAGTGAGCCAGCAGCAGATTTCATTAGGGCAGTGAACCTCTAAGGCCAAAGGTGGGTGTGTGAAAACCCAATGACGGAGACGTCTTAGTTTTCCTGGCTCTCCTTGGTACCACTTACATCCCACTTCCTCTCCCATTTGGCGGACCCCCTTCCCACTTATACAATCGCCATCCACCAAGTCACAGCTCTAGCCACCACCAGTGGTGCCCCTTGCTTTGGGGGGTGGGGCAGGGCTCTGCTCAACTGTGCCATCGTCAAGCTTGGTTTACTGGCATGTGTAAATGGCCCCATATCTGTGGCCACCACTAAGTTCAAATCCCAGCCCTTCCTCACCAATTCTGGTACCTTGAGGGCACTATCATAACATCTCTGAATTTTTTCACCTAAAGTGATAAAACATTGAAATACCTATCATGCAGGAGTGCTGAAAGAGTCGTATGGGGTTTAATACATATAAAGCCCTCACATACAGGGCATGTGATTGTAGTCTAGAACTGGAAGTGGTTATCATTCATTCTCAGTTGTCTTCTCCTTTAAAACATACATACATACATACATACATACATACATACATACATACATACATAAATATCCTGTTTGGACTACTGCCTCCTCTCCTCTCCTTTTCTCCACGTATTGGAGGTCAGACCATGCATAGTAGGCAAGTGCCTTACCACTGAGCTGCATTGTCAGCCCATTCCTCTCTCTTTGAAAAACCTTCAAATCTTTTTCCCTACCCAAGTACCAAAGGCCTCATCATGCTCCATCTTGCCCATTGGGAGAGAAATCAAGTTGATAATGCCACTGAAACAAAAGGGTCACACTTCATATTACAAACTCTAAACAGCAATGTGGATGACAGGATTGGGAAATGATTACATAAAGGAATAATTTGGAGAGTGAGAGCCCCAGTAGGTAGGTTGTCCTTACAGCATATTTTCTAGCTAAGTATCATTCCTTCTCCTTCTGAATAAGACGAGCCTCATCTGGCTTTGCTGCTACATCTCTACATGCTTCTTTTTATGCTAATTCAATCTAATTTGAAGGCAATTGGTATAACCAAGAAAACACGATCCACCTCTTTCTTTATGGCTCTGCCACCCCACAGCATATGAGTGCCAAGAGACACTAGTAAACTTTTCCAACTAGCATTTTGCCCAGACAATGGGCTGAGTGGAAATTGAATGAAACAGATAAGGTCTGATGACTCATGTTTCAAAATAAATTTCTAGTTAAATACAGCCTCAAAGGCTAATCACTAGATGCAGAGCACCCCAGTTAGAAACAGGACACTCACTACAATCAACAATGCCCTGCAGGATCGAAAACACAGGATCCTGGACACACAAACAGAACACAAAAGCTATTGCCACAGCAACATGGACAAATTTAAAAAAACATATAGCAAATGTTTTGAGAGTGAAAACAAGCTGCAGGTTACAAACAAATGCCTCTGTTCACACTACGTTTTAAAATATGCCAAGCAGAGCTGGGTGCAGTGGTACACACCTATAATCCCAGCGGCTCAGGGGGCTGAGGCAGGAGGATCACAAGTTCAAAGCCAGCCTCACTCAGCAACTTAGGGAGGCCCTGAGCAATGTTTCGAGATCCTGTCTCAAAATAAAAGGGGCTGGGGATGTGGTTCTAACCCTGGTACCAAAAAAAAAAAAAAAAAAGTGCTAGCAACATTGAACACAAATTAAGAATCTATGTATATGAAGTAAAAAATAATAAAGACAAACATGAGAACACAAAGATAACAGTGGTTGCTGGGAAAGAGCAGGGCGGGACTGAAACAGGGATGGTAAGAGGGAGCTCCTATCATGTTGACCTGTGTTATCACAAGGTCCAGTGTGCCCTACTCTTGGTTGATGTCTCTGCTGATGCTGTCAGTGTCATCTCTGAACTCAGTTCAGTTAAGTAGCGCAAGAGAGCAATGGGGCATGCGTGAGGGAAGGAGTCATGGTCACTCCTCGCCGCCCGAGCCACATACAGCAGTTGAAACGCCTCTGAACCAAGAACTCGGTTGCTTCTGGCAGGGCCTCTAGGAAGGCTCTGCTATCCCTTCACACCAGCTCTTTTTTTTCCCAAATGCACAAGGAAGGCAAAAATATTCTAAGAAATACTAACAACTAATAAAACTCATCATGGAATTGCTTATTCCTGTTAATTCCCATAAGCCAACCACTATGCCAAAAAATGACAGCATAAAGAAAAAAGAAAGATAAGGCAACCCAGAGTTGTTCTCCTTTGTAATGTTTCTTTACTCATTAGTAAATCAAATATAGGAAGCATTGGGAGAAAGTTCCTGTCCCAAGAAGTGAAACAGAAGTCGGGTGTGGTGGCCCGGACCTGCAATGCCAGTGACTCAGGAGGCTGCAGGCAGGAGGACTGCACATTTGAAGCCAGCCTAGGCAACTTAGATGCGGTCTCACAATACAAATAAAGGGTGGTGGGTGCAACTCAGTGGCAGGGCACTGGTTCAGCATGCCCATGGCCCCGGGTTCAAGCCCTAATTCCAAAAAAAAATTGAAATAAAAACAGTTTAATTAGTTTTGTGCAGCCTTTCCATGGTTCTTGGGGAAAACAAAACGAAAAAGTCATATGAGTACAAGGGATTGAACATGGATTGTGTCTCCCGGGAGTCCACTGTCATTAAAGGCCTGGTCCCAGAGAGGCACTGGGACTTTTGGGTGGCGGAAACTAGAGGGAGGCCCTTAGGTCACTGGGCTTCCTCAAAAAATAGCTCTCTGGACCTCCTTGATCACTCTCGGGAGAGGGCTACCACAGAAGGAACAAGTCTAGCCCACCCTGTGTCTGTCTCTCTGCTCCAGAGACCCCTCACTCTGCCACACCCTCCCGTCACGGCCAGGCACCACAAATGAACTGATCCAGGCACCATATTCCTGAACCTCCCAAACTGGGAGCTAAATAAACCTTTTCTCTTTAAAAGTTAGCTGCCTGGCCTTTTCCAGTAGTAACACAAAACTGCCTGATTTTTGAAGAACTGTGTCATTTCAATGACTCTGTACATGAGTAAAATATCCTTATGTTGATATATAAAATTGGCTTTGCACAACAAAGAGATGAATGGTAAAAATTCATATTCATAATTTCATTTTTTCTTTACTTAGGACAATATTAAATAGCAAACAAGACATGACATGGGAAGTTGAGAGCCTGAGGAGGAAAGGCACATCAGTAACTTTAAAGACACTTCCCCTGCTTTGGAATCAGGAGGAGCACACTGTCGTCTCTGCAGAGCCCTGCCAAGTATGAGGCTAGCCCAGCAAAGGCTCAACCTCTGAGCTCTCCCCAAAAGGAGGTCTGGATTCTAACCGCCTGAAATAAATTTCTAATGAATTGAAAATTTCTGCATCTAGGTGATCTCCTCACCAGCATCTTGGAGAGTGTAGTTTTGTCTGTATGCTTGGAAAAGAAAGAAAAAAATGATAAGCCCGTGCCATTTTGAAGATGGGGAGGGAATTGAATGAGAAATATTGACTTCCTTTTCTAATGTTAACAGCATTCTCTCCCAAGACCACCTTTTCTCTATACATCAATAAGTATATAGGGTTATAATTTTGCAAAAATATCTTGAATAAACTTGCAAAAATGTGTGTAGGTGTTTCCATGCTACACACTCACTGTGGGGAATGTACAATGGAACCACAGCTCCCTCTGAAGCCTAGATCTTGGCTGCCAGGACTTCCTGAGGGCTCCTCCCAGGGCTCCCCGTCAGGAGCGAAGGCCTCTGGTTTTACCTTTACTATCCTACTTAAGGCATTTCATAAACATTCCTCAAACAGCTCAAAAGCCTAAGAGACACATGATGTGAAACTGTAATGACTGAAAAATCAAAGTTTAAAACAGATTTTCTCCAAAGTTAGAGAGCACAGTCCTTGAGACGAAGAGACTCTGGGCAGTCCTACCTTCAGCCACTGCCCTCCCCACTCTAGAGAGCTGTGCTGCGTCTGGCACATCTCAGTCTGGAAGGAACATGAAATCACCTGCAGCTTCCAAATGCTTTACTGGGAAAATGAGTGACTAGCAAGGCCAGCTAGTCTTGGTTCTTAAGATAATTTATGCTAACAAATCTTGGGAATTAGTGATGCTGGTCAACTTATTTTACCTAGCACCAGGTTTATCTGTTTGCAGTTTTGGAACTTTCCTTAATAAATAATCAACAATCCTTAAATTGGTGGCCACTGCCCACAGGCAAACCACCAGAGTGTTCTGCCTGTCAGAATGCAAAACAGCCAGGGAAGCATGGGTTGGGAAAACAGGAAGGATTTATATTATAAACATGTTACTGTCCAGCTGCTCATTTTCCTGGCTGGTCTGATGTTACAGTTTTACTTGATTCTCTGACATGGTTGAAAAGAAAGACAATTGGCTTAAATTACGCAGCTCCATGGAAGCTGCTGCACGAGCACGTAAGAAGCCAGGCTCATACACCAAGGGAATGCTCCTTGCTGTTCCCCATCAGAACAGAGCTGGGAGACTTTCTGGAGGACGAGAAGGGTTGCTGCCTCAGGTGACATTCCTAACTTCAGGCCAAGTGTTGGGACGGGCAGCACTCAGCTGCCTAAAGCGCCAGGTGTCTGCCCGGCAGGAAGAGTCGGAATAGGAAACCCGACAGAAAAACAAATGGACTGGGACGCACATGAGCTGATGGCATCACTCCTGTCACACTCATGCAAAGAGTCCAGGGTAAGGAAAGCAGCCGAGTGCCCACAACACAGTATGTTCTTTTCCTCTGCAAACAGCGTGGAACAGGCAGACCTGTGTGTGGACTGCTGGGGCTGACATTGAAGTGACCTCTGAAAGCAAACACCCCAAACTGTTATGTAAACTGCAATGACTAGACATTCCCGGCCACCGCAGCACAGAGAGGGCTGTGTTGACAGCCTGGCACCTGGAGGTGGTGAGCCCTTCAGAAGAGAAAGGGCAAGCAAGCAAATCCTGCCTGACTTTTCAGTGAGGGTTGGGTGAAATTTTGTAAGTAATGGAGATTTAAAATACTTAAAAATTTTAGAGAAAAGCCTTATAAATTTGATAGGTAGTAACAGGAAGATTTTGCTATTTCAAATCTAAATGGTAGGAACTAAATGTAATCAAAACTGCAGGCAGCAGACTGAAAAGTATATAATGTAATACAGACTAATGTGTCATTAGCTCATGCTCACGACAATGAGATTAGCTTCCAATAGCATCATAATCAGATTTTGGAATTTTGCTGGGTTAGATCTATGTACAAGGGACATATAGCTAGGGATAAGTTTAATGCATTTCGCATCAACATTTTGAATGATTTAAGCAATGCAACTTCTAAAAAATCCTCTCATTTTCTAAACTGACTATAAACCATCAAACTCTTAAATATATAGTCCAAAAAATCCAATTTGAACAGTGGTTACAATGATATTGCTTACATTTTTTTTTAATTTGACCAATGAAATTCAAAAAACCAAAGATTTGATTTTAAAAAGCCATGTTTGATGTACTTCACATCAAAAACTTGTTTTTTCAAATGAGTTGCTTTTTAAAAATCCTTAAATTCGATGAAATGATTGAAATTATCAACATCTTTGAAAACCTTCTCTTAAAGTAAAAAATCTAAAATGCTTTTTGAAAAGTGGCTTCACCAAGGCTTGTTACATTTGTAGTGAAACAATAAGCTTTATTTGTAAAATTTAAAAGTCAGTTTACAAATGCCGTGGAGCCTGGGCAGAATTATGAGAGAGCAGCCCTGCATTTCCTTTGTGCTTGAGAGTTAATAGGATTAAAGCTTGAAGAATTGAATAAACCCTGAGCTGGTTAAGATGGACGTATCACATTTCAGGGTTCCCCATTTCATAACGGGCATGCTCCACGTTTGACAAAATAAAACACACTAGTGAGCTTATTTGAACAACTCTTTGAGGACACATGGCTTCTGGAAACTTTCAAAGGGAACGCGTGTCCATTTCCTCTGGGCCACATGGCCCTTTGTGTGCTCAGCTCGCCTGTTCCGGGCTCCCCTACCTCACAGGCAACAGTCCCCTGCTATGGTCTCCTTACACGGGGAAGAAGTATGAAGATGTCCGATGTCTGTATGTGAATCAGTAACTTCTAACTTTCACAGTGATGCAATTACACTGGCCCTAATCTTCTGTAAATGTAGCAAATCCAAGCTAAAATGCCCCAGGCCTGTTATCTTCCCCCAGATGATGTAATGAAGCTGGCGGTGCTGCTTTCTGCTATCAAGGTGGTTATTATCAAGGATAATTGTGGCTGGAAATGTTTGGCATTCCTGTCTAGCAGTAGTCCCGATTGTTTAGAATAGATTTTTGCATAGGAGTTCCAACATCTGTCCATCTCAGGTCAGATTTCTGTGAGAACCTGGGCATCTAGTCTCTAATGGGACGTGCAGCTGTCCCAGATGAAACAGGAATGGTTTCTTGCATTACGGTGACAACAAAGGGTCAAGTTTAAAGTTAAGGAATACAAGAACAGTACGCAAATGGCATTCCCACAGCACAAAATGCCAATAATGTTACCAGTTAAAGGTAGACTTGGAGGCTGACAAAGCACCTCCTAGCAAAATGAGCATTAATTAGCCCTTTGTAACACCAATATACCTATGGATTCCTTTCATTTGTAATTCCTCATATCATAGCAATCCAGCTTGCCTGAAGTGAAAAATATTTATCAAATGAAAGCTGTACATAAAACTGCAAAGAAATATAATAGCAAATTTTGGAAAGGAAGTTAAAAAAAAAGAACTAAAACACTATGATGATCTTAACAAAGACACACAAAACATGTTACTAGGAACAGTTGTTTGGTCAAATTTCCTGTTTTTTTCCCTAAGCACTGGTTTGTTTAAAACATGTTGTTAGTGCACAGTTTACTGCTGTTGATTAACGTTTCTACATGTAAAATCCGGAACTGTTCTCCAGGACTTCTTATTTAAAGATATTCCAAACAATGTGGATTTTCCCTTGCTTCTTCAGTCTGTGGTCTTCAGCATACTTAAATGATGATAAGCCATGAACCTAAAGAGCTGAAAATTAGTATGAGACACTGGCAAATTGTTAAAGTATGGGTTAATAAAGAGGTCATAAAAAGAAGGTGGCATGAAACCTCTTTTTAACCCTAAGTAGTTTTACTGCAAGATTCCAGGAATCAACTGTGGACTGCTACAAAATATGCCAAGCCTGAGCCACACATGTGTTGGTGGTGGCTCTTTGTTTTATTCACTTATGAAGGGGGAAGAAAACTCCTCTGCAAAGACCTGACTTCAACAGCAACCTATTACACAATTAGAATAACTGAATCCCACCATTGTGTGTGAAACGTAGGGAAATAAAAATTCCTCCCTTGGGAAAGAAGTATAAAACATTCACATTTTTCTAAGTATTTTATAAATTATGCTGCTTTATTAAGCACATACCGTTAGAAATCTCTTCTATTACTGACAACACTTTTCTTAATGGCCTTTACGTGTTTAAATAAATGGCTCCTGAAAATGTGCGTTTATATAATATAAATAAAACCGTAATGTAAACATGCCCAGATATAAACTCTTTAGAAATGTCAGCTTAAAACTTTCCAGTCTAAATAAATCGTCTTATGAATGGTCCAGCAAAGCAATTTTTAACGCATTTTTCCGCCTAAAAAGCTCAGAGATTTACAGGCACCGTCCAAAAAGAGAAACCAAAACAGCTTCGATGAAAGCTGAATACCCCATTCATGCAATAAGCAATGCTAAGTGCTACCCAATAGAGGGACAGTTTTTGAGACCAGCTAAGCCCATGTGACTGACTCTATAGTCCTTACTAATATCCCCTCACTGTCTTGTTATTTGTTTACTCTCCTATATATTGTCTGTCTCACCTCCTTGCACTGTATCTTCCTGAGAGTAAAAACCACTGTGTTGGGTCCTCTGGTCTAATACTTAGCATAGCACCAAGCACATAGTAGACACAAAAAAAGCTACCCATTTAGGAATTTGTTAATAAGACTCCATTATTCCAAACTGGCCCATGTGTCTGCAAGTCTAGCTGCTGTCCCCCTTCTTCCTCAGTACTCCCACATTTCCACTTAACACATGATTTGCACATTTCCCAGCCTCCCTTGCAACTAAGTGCCAGCTAGGTTTGAACTAATAAGAGGCAAGGGAAAGTACTTTGCAACACCTTGTGGGAAAGTCCCTTGAAAGATAGCTAGTGTGGCCCTTCGCCCCTCTTCCTGCCTTCCTCTTTCCAGCTGCCTGGGATGTGCATGTAATTGCTGGAGTTCGAACAGTCATTGTGGACTGAGTCACTTGGCCTTGAGAAGGGAAATCATTAGCTTGAATGGAGAGCGGCAAGAGAGAAAGGCCTGGGTTCCTTCTATTGCAGAGTTCATTCCAACCAATTTCTCTAAGTCTACTCTTCTTTTACCCAGGGAAAGAAACAAACTATCTCACTTAAGTCATTATTATTTTGAGTTTCCTCTCACAGGTAAACAAACCAAATCTTACAGTTACATTTTTTAAAAAATAATTTGAAAGAGGCCCATGTAGATTTTACACATCTTTAAAAATTTATTATTTAATAAACACACCAGGAACTCTTTCCAAAAAAGGGGCAAATACTTATAAGCACAATACTTTGTCCCCAGAATTAAGCTGATACTATGGGAGAATATAAGGAAATTCAAAATGAGTTCTTGTCTGTAAGAAGTTAATAACTCAGTGAAAAAGGACATGTGAACCACCCACCCTCTCCCCCAAACACCCACCCACAGGTAACAACACAAAGGAACAAAGTGCAAAACTGCACACTGAAGACTGTATCTGTGGGAGAATTCAGTGAGAAGACTGGGGTTCTGGGGAAGGTTCCGGGGGAGCTGGCCTGAGGGGGCCCTGCAGGGGAGCAGAGCCTGGAAAGGCAGTGGAAACTGGTAGGGTATCTCCAGAGTAGGGCACAGCTGTGGGGAACCCCTGCTTCAGTAACAGCACATCATGTTCAAGGAGCCTGGGAGGAGGACAGCAGATAACCCCCCACTTTCCCAAAACATGGTCTCTCTGCCTTGAAAATAGTCCCCATAAGGGATGGCTTACCTCCCCACTCACCCCCCACTTAAGAGGTGAATCTTTGCTCCAGATTATCCCCACCATATACTTGATGCTGCTTACGACCTTGCTGAGCCTCACCCAGAGGCACACCTGGCCCCTCCTTTCCTTTAGGGATCTTGCTCAGACAGCCCACAATGAGTGAGAGAAACGTGCTTCTTGATACCCAACAGGCACATCTGAAGCCTCATTACACACTCTGATGAGATGTTTGAAATTCAGCTGTCAGGGAGAGGTGGTGTGCTCTGCCTCCTGCACTGTGGAGGAATCATAAAGCAGGAGAATGACCAGTGGCTGCTTCCAGGGCAGCAGCCAGGGAATGCAGTTACTCACAAGCCACAATCACAGGATAAGGAAGCAACCTGCAGAATAAGTTCCCTTTCAGCTGCTTCTGGTCAACAAAACCATTGCTGAGGTTTTTAAAACCCCACCAAACACCTTTGAGGAAAAGAACACCATCCAGTCTAACAAAAACCTTGGGCACTGTCTTCACCCAGGGAGCTTCTTCGGAAGCTCAGAAACTGTCAGAGCACCCAGGAGCCCATATAAGGTGAGTTAAGTAGAAGAGCCACTGTGGAATCCAGGCAGGACCAGGCCTACCGTTGAGAAATGAAGCGCTGACTTATGAGACGGCTGGAAGTATAACCAATCACATCAGTTTTATAACAGGGCCTCAGAAGCAATGAGTAAGATCTCTGGGGTCTAATCTTAGACACATGAAATCAAACTTGACTTTTTCCAAAACTGGGCCTAAAATGGCTGACAATGCTTTTCTCAATGGCCTTTACATGTTTAAGTAAATGGCTCCTGAAAACATGCATTTATATTATATAAATAAAACCTTAATACAGACATGCTCAGATATAAACTCTTCAGAGGTGTCAAGTTACAGGCACTGTCCTGTAAGTTTTCTCCCCACTTCATAAGTGAGTAAACAAACAGCCACAGTGACACTTGCTCCTGGAGGTCTGGAGGAGCAGGACCATGTGGTCCAGGTGTGAGGACACCGAATACTGTGGTTTGGCTCTGCCACCAGGGAACTCGGTGTGGATGTGGTTTTCTTCATCTGTAAATTACAGGAGTTTGACTGAGATGCTCTGCCCCTGGACTCTCGGGGCTCCGACAACGACCCCACACCCTTGACAGATGACACACGCGACAGAGGGGGTATGTGTTCCTCTCTACGTCTTTTCTTCCCATTGTCATTTCTCCATATGCCCCAAATCATGCTAATTTGCCAATTAATAAGCAGCCAGCCTCAGTTGCAGTCTCCTCCAAAGCTTGGCGAATTTCATGCTTCTCTGGTGACAGCAGCAGCTGCTACTCTCCCCAAACCACATCTTTCCCTTCGTCATGAGGCCTCCTTGCTGGCCACAATTTGCCTTGGCCAGAGATTCCCCCAATGTCAGCTTCTACCAGAAACTGCCACCCATATGCACAGTTCTAGTTCATTAGTCTCTCTGAAGCAATCCAGCTGGCCAGAGCAGTCCCAGGTGGTCAACACCAAGAATGTCAAAGCACCCCAGCACACAAAAGCTGAGAGGGAGTGGACGGCAAAAAGAATCTAGTTTGATTGCCTCCAAGTTATAGACAAGGCTATGGTACCGTGAAACACTCATTCACCTAACACGGCCCAGCCAGCGCCAGAACCCAAGTCCCCGACTCAGCAGTCAGTGGGATCATGAAACAGATGGAGTTAGAAGCTACTGAGATAGAAGCTACTGTTTATGGTGTGCCCTGTGCCAGGCACTGGGCTAAGTGGCTTCCTGAACCTAACATATACCAACTTGAACTCAGAATCTTTCCTTCAGATCTGCCCCTCTTCCTGTCCCCACCTTAGCCAATGGGCCCCCATCCATCTAGCTGTTTACACCAGAAACTTGGGAGTTGTCCTGGACATCTCTCTTCCTCAGCAGTTCCCCACGTATGACACTCTCACCCCTCATTCTTCAGAGCACATCTTACGTCTTTCCACTCATCTGCACGAGCACACTCTTCAATCTACATTGGCCTCTGGCCTGGACTGAGGCCACAACTCTGATCTCACCATTCTACTGCCACTAAGTCCTTTCTCTGTCCATCCATTCCCCAACCAGAGACCAGGGCAAGCCTGTAAAAACAAATCAGATCACCTCATGCCCCCCTCAACACACACACGCACACACTTCTTAAACCCACTGATCTTCCCAATACTCTTGGGACAAAGCTCAGATTCTAGAAGGCCCAGTCTCACCTGATCCCTGATAATGTCACCAATCTTATTTCATCCCAATCTTCCCACAGATCACTAAATTCTACAAACACTTCTTTTAATTCCCACAAAGTTGCAAGCCCTTTCCAACCCACAGGCTCTCTCTCTGCACACAACCCTTCAGACCTCAGCTTCCCCATCAATTCCTTGGACGCACTTTTCCTAAGACTCTGCTGGGAACCTCTCCTGTGCAGCTTTTACCAGTGGGTGGATTACATTTTGGAGAATATTTGATTAATAACCATTTCCCCAACCAGACTACGTGTCCATGAGGACCAGGACCACACTCATTTGTTCATCATTATAGTTATTAAGTGTCATGCACATAATACATCCTAATACTTATTGAATTCTTTAGTTTACTGAAAACTCAAGTATAATATTATCCGCCATTTGTAGATGAGCAAACGAAAGCATGAAGAGCTTAAGCCACCTGCCCTAGTCCTGGAACCAGTAGGAGCCTAGGAGGGATTCCAACACAGGTTGCCTGAGCCCAAAGGCCTTATTCTTAACATTAACAGATTATATCAGAAATGGAGCGGGCTGAGAAGATGCGAGAGCCACTTAGCCCAGAGAGATAGTAAGTTTTGATATTTATTTGACTCATTTGGAACAAATGGAGTCTGTGAGAGGCTAAAACTTGGCCCCTAAAAGTCATCCACATCCTAATTCCTGGAGCCTAGAAATGACCAAAAATGAAGGAAGGGAAGGAAAAATAAGGGAGAGAAGGGGGGGCCTTTGCAGATGTGATTAATTTGAGGATCTTGGATTAGATAAATAGTTCTGGATTTATCAGGGTGGAACCTAAATGCAATTGCAAATGTCCACATAAGAGTGGCCAAGGGAGAGCTGACCAACAGAGATGTAATGACAGGGCAGAGAGAGGTGAAGACTGTCTTAATTCAGGCTGGTAGGACAAAGTACCATGGACTGGGTGCCTTACAAACAACAGAAGTTTGTTCTCACGATTCTGGTGCCTAGCAGTCTAGAGCGACATGGGTGGGTTGTTATTAAAGCCCTCTTCCTGGTGATAGCTGGTTACCTTCTTCTTGTATCTTCACATGGTAGAGAGCAGAGAAGGAGGAGAAACGAGTGGTTCTGAGTCTTTTCATAAAGCACTAATCCATTACAAGCCCCCCCCCCCCGTGAGCTAAATGCCCCACCTCCTAACACCCCCAGACTTCCTAGCAAAGATGCCAGCCTTGAGACTTGGTGTGACACAGCCACAAACCAAAGCACACCAGCTGCCACCAGAAGCTGGAACAGGTCAGGAACAAGACTGTCCCCAAGAGCTTTGCGGGGAAGCATGGGCTTCCCCACACCCTGACTTCAGATGTCTGGCCTCCAGAGGAATCAGAGACAATTTCTACTATTTAAAGCCACCAAATTTGAGGTAATTTTTTTTTATAGAAGATGCAGAAAGCTGGTGCAGAATCCATAACATGACTTTGCTACCAGGGGTGTGCACCTGGGGAGGCTCCCCCTCCCCACACACTGCCCGTCCCCACACCCAGCCCGGTCACCGAGAAGCACAGCGCCCCATTTCTTAGCACCTTCCCTACTGTACAATCTCTCAATAAAGAATCTGAAAAGAGAAACCAGAAAATTAAGAGGTTCAACACTATAACAAATGACTAGGGCTATTTTTTTTTTAATTATGACTAAAACAAAAAAATTTTTCTAGGGCTCAAAATGTTTCTAAGCTCAGGATTTTTGTGAAAGCCAAAGTAAACAATGTTTTAACTTTGCTTCCAAAATGTTACTGGATCCGCGGAGATCTGCTGTCTTCACTTTTGTAATACAATAAATAAATGATAGTCAACAACTGCTCTAAAATAGCTAAAGAATCATATTTCATGAAATTAGAAACCTTGTGCTCTCAAGTTCATCTTTCAGACTAACTTTGGTCTATGATTCTGTCTCGTACACTAGTGTTTGGACCTGGCAGACTGATAACTCACTCTGCTTCTAAGATCATCTGTAGTTTTAAAGAGAAGATGCCTTAGAAATTTTCCATGACTTGTTTTCACATCATAGGAAGTTGTGAGACAAGACAGGCTGTGACGAAATGTGCTTAACACTCAGTGATCCCAGGGCACGGGGCCTCCTGTGGAGCTGTCACCTTGCTGCTCTATTCAGAGTTCCCAGATGGCAAAGGGATATTAAGTTGTTGGAGGTTAATCCTGCCAAAGGAAATCAGAAATTTTCAAAGCCATTGTCAATATGGCTGTGCAGTTTAAGAACATACACGGGGTAAGTTCACAGCACTTAAAATATAGTTGAAGAAATCACCATTTTAAGAACAGCCACAAGAGTTCATAACTCCAGATGAGGTGAGGAGGAGAGTAAATCAGGTGAAGTGACTGAGTCATGACAGGGAGAGGCAGGAGGGGGAGGATATTTTAAAGTAAGAAAATCTTCTGGATGAAGATGTTTCTCAGAGAACCCAGAGCAGATTTGGGATGCAGTTAGGAAAACTGAAAAGCACTTCATTTATCATACTATGTGGAGGGAAGGACGAAATTATTAAGTTCAATTGACCCATTTTATAAATAAGAAACTGAGGTCAAGATACCAGGGTTAGGTCACTCCCCCAAGCTGCTGGGTGGCCAAGCTGGGGCTCACACTGGGGCCTGTTAGACCTCTTCTGGTGCTACCACCTGGGCTATGAATGGACCGTCACCTCTTCGAGTTTATTTCAGACATTAGGTGTGTCTACCAGCTGAAATAATTATAAGGTAGCTTTCATTTCTTGAAGGCAAATAAATTAAAACTGCTTTTAACCAGTTATTCTCAAAATGACATTCAAAGAGACACAATACCCATCACCTTCCTGCTCCTCCTTCCTTCTTTTGATCTTTGGTGGAAGACAGACATCTGCTCAAATGGTTTGCAGTAAAGCTATCCAGTTATGTCTGAGCTCTTACCAGCCACCCTGAAAAACACAGGCTGTGTGGCCACTGAACTTCTGCTGGGTGGATGCATCTGCGGGCACAGGGGTGCTGGGCCACAGGCTCATGGCCCATGCCCAGCCATCATACTCAGGGGCATTAAGCTTTCTGCTGCTATGTCCCCACCCCAGAGCTGGGGCCCAGAGGGGCTGGCTACCCAGCCAGGGCTTGCTTCTTGGCCTTTGGTAGACAGAACGCGGCAGCCCCTGGCATGGAACCTGTTCAATATGCAGACCCCAGGGTTGAGGTTCTTATTCTAACGCTTCCTCAACAGTGACATCTGATGACAAGAGCACATCTGTCCTTTGTCATATATGTATTTTTGAACCACATCCCAGAATCCAAGAAAAGGACATCTGTGACTTTGTATAATGTTTTTTATGTAAGAATAATTTGAGAACATGTTTTGTCTATCTCTAGGCCATCATTTATCAAACTGACCCCATAGCAACCACCAGTTACAGGCAAATTCAAAAATCAAATTTCTCAGAAGGTTAAGTGATAAACTAAACATGATACTTTATCACTGAGGAGGGTGAGCACTGTTCAGAGTACTCAGCTACTGCACACCGGACACTCTACACACGACGGCAAACAATGTGCTATTGGAGACATAATGACTAGCAGTCTGAGCTGACTCCCCAGGTAGTTTCTTTTCTTACTATGTATTTCTTCTAAATTGGAAAATCCTAACTCACACAGACATCACCAGAGGAGCCCCACGTACTTGGCACCTCTCAGATGTATCTGGGGGTTGAGATTCAACATGATCCTAGAAATTAGGGACTGATTTTTCACCAAGATCTCTTTCAATGCTTGTTAAAATAAATCAACCTACACATTAAATTTGAGAGCTGGAAGATTAGGCTAAATGCTCCATTGGAGAGGAGGGCAATAAATAGATGCCCATTCTACTTCTGGGTTGTATTTGGCAAGCATTCTACAGCTCTTGGATATGGTTTTAAAACATAACCTATAATTCTTTCTCTAATGAATAAAAGTCCAGTCATTCAGAAAATGTTGATTAGCTCTTTGTGACACTGCAAGGCACCAGGACTATAGCTGGAAATAATGCCACTGTCTCAATGTGGTTTGCTCCCGAAGAGTGCATGTGTTGGAGGCTTGGTCCCCATGGGAAGATGTGGAGCTGACAGAACCTCTAGGAGGTGGGGCTGGTGGGAGATGCTCAAGTCACTGAGCATCCTGCCCACGGAAGGGATTCCAAAGGGTGGTTTTCAAGCCTGAGCCTGGCCCATCCCAGCTCTTTTGCTGCTTCTTAAGGATTAATCGCTTGCTCCCACACACATTCCTGTCATCACCATCTGCCATGATGTCATGTAGCCAAGAGGGCCTTCATCCCAACTGGGCTGATGTAGGTGTCATGTCCTTGAATCCCCAAAATTGTGAGGCAAATAAGCCTCTTTTCTATATAAGTAGACTGCTTCAACAACTTCACTATAGCAGCAAAAGCTGACTCATACAGAAGACAGGGACAGACCTAGGAGACACTACAATTTCTTGTACTTATTATTAAGTAACTTAATCCTCAGCCCTGAAATAGCATGTTACTTAGGAAGGTCACCTAAATGACAAAAATGGCTTTTACAGACACTGAGCAGTGTCATGAAGATAGGTTTTATTTTATCCTTCAAGGCAAGCACTCTACCACTGAGCTATACACATCCCAGCCCCATGAAGATAGGTTTTAAACTCAGATACCATCTTCCAAAATCTTCTGAGAGGCACCTTCACCTCCAGGACATCACTGCCCATTTTCTTCATTTCAGTAGAAATTGTCACACTTTTCACTATTTCTTTCAACTACTGTCAGGGTCAGGAGAGAGTGCAGACCACCAACTGTTGTCCAGTCACATTCTAGTGCAACCCTTTTGTTCATGTAGCAATGTCCTCTGACCTTTCTTCTGTTACAAATGATCCCAACACACCTTTTTCATTCTCCTTCATGGCTCACAATATAATCCCTAACCAAACATTAAACATTCTTCTCTTACAACATGGACTTTCTTTGAGCAAAACCTCATCAAGCAATCCGATATCAGACAAGTACCACCCATTACAAAGAGCTGATTAATAATCTCCACATCACTGGTTCTGCCCAGATGTGAAGTAAAAGATCTGCAAGCACAAACATCTCAAAGCAACTGCCTTCCACACTGTACCAGAGAATCACACAACATCCACTCACTGAAGAAACTTTGCCAACACCCCATTTTGATTTCTCTGAGCAACACACCTGTCATGAGCTTTCAGGAACCCTGTTTGCTCGGTGAGAAGCAGAGTTCTGGATATCATTTCTGTGCTTTTGGCCTCTTTTCTCATTTCACTGTAGAATTCATCAATCTCACCTTGAGAAGCACAACTTTGGATTAACAGGTTGACCTAGGTTGTGTTTAAAAATAGCAGAGAATGGACAGTATACAGTGCAGTAGGGTTGAATGGACTACTAGTCCATCAATCTAATTTCAGACACTTACCGATCTTCTTTCCTTTCTGGCCCCTTGAGGTAAGCCATTCTACTTGAGGAATCACTGGTGGCATCATTACAAATATACACTTTATACTTGCTCTGGAATCCCATTCACTATTTATAGCTCCAATGTTTTTATGAGTGTTAATGTTTCCCTGATTCATTCTATTTCTACTTTTTTTGGTGAGTGGAATTCTGGGGATGGAACCACTGAGCAACACCCCAGTCCTTTTTGTGCTTTATTTTGAGACAGGGTCTGGCTAAGTTGCTTAAGGCCTTGCTAAATTGTTGAGGCCTTGAACTTGACATCCTCCTGCCTCAGCCTCCCAAGCTGCTTGTATTACTGGCACTGCCACCTTGCCTGGCCCTCTATCTCTATTTTCACCCTCACCATCAAGCCATTGTCTTTTGAACTGTATAAAATAAAATAAATGCATTTACATGAATAATGGCAGATAACAACAAAATGTTAGATGAGACAAACTGCCCTCAGCTGGCCAAATCCTAGCCAAGACAGTTTTTCCAGCACAAATGCAATCCTGAAGAAGATAAAGATTACTAAAAACAAGATTCCAGTGAAATTCAAAATTAATGTTCATTAGTATAATATGTCTGAATAAAATGACTTGATTTTTCCCCTGAAGCTGCCAAGGCACCTGCAGATCACCTGACAGACTTGGAAGGGCTCCCCAGCCACCTGCAGGCCACACTGTAAATCTGTGCCCCCAGTTTTCCCGTTTGCCACAGGCTGTGTAATGCGCAGCCAGTGGCTGTCAAGACTTCTCCAGCTCCAACTGAACTGCGTACAGAAGTGTCACCTCCTCTCCTCCTCCTTTACACCCTCCACCCCGCCTCCAGCCACCACTCTCGCCACCCTGCTCTTTCCCAACTTCTCCTCGATGACTCAAAGATCGGAGAGCCTGGACGGCCTGTGCCAGACTTCTAACACTGACAGACGGGGCAAGGGCTACTGCTGCGCTCATCAGGCAGGCCTCCGCCTTGGAGACACACTAGAATGACCTTAAAAGCTTTTAAAACTTAAAAAGCTCTGCTGCCTAAGTTTCACCCAAGATCAATTTAACCAGTCTGGGGGGCAGGGCTCAAGTACTTCTACCTTTTTTTTTGGTACCAGGGATTGAACTCAGGGGTGCTCACCCACTGACCCACATCTCCAGCCCTACTTTGCATTTATTTAGAGACAGGGTCTGAGTTGCTTAGCACCTCACTTTTGCTGAGGCTGACTTTGAACTCACAATCTCCTGCCTTAGTCTCCCAAGCCTTTGGGATTGCAGATATGCGCCACCGCGCCCAGCAAGTACTCCCTGGTAATTCTAAAGCACAGGTAGGGCCGCAATCCTAGTGCTTGGGAGGCTGGATGAGGATCACTGTCATAAGGAGGCTCTGCCATAAGGCAACTCCCAGAGTAGCTACTCAATGCTGTGCCTGTAGTAGAGGCCCACAATCCCAGCGCTTGGGAGGCTGAATGTGGATCACTGTCATAAGGAGGCTCTGCCATAATGCATTGAGTAGCTACTCAATGCTGTGCCTGCTGGGACTACTCAGCTCTGTGTGCATCATCTCTCTGAGGGCTGCTGGGACAAGCTCCTTCTTGGATTCTTTGAATCTAGTGGCACCTACTGATACTGGTTCTTTTCACCTCTACTGTCATCATGTTCTTGAAATGGTCTCTGTCACATCCTTCCCTCTAAGACAGAGGCTCTCAATTTGACTGTATGTTGGAATCCTTGGGACCTTATCAGTGTCTGGGCTGTGCCCCCCATCAAGTAAATCATTACCTCTAGGGACAGGAAACAAGCATCAGGTTGCTAAAAAGCAGAAGATTGAAAATCAATACTCAAGGGGTTGCAGTGTCTAGCAGGACCACCACAGCTAGCAGACTGGGCTCCAACTATTGAGCACGGTTCTGAGCTTCCTGAGTCCTTCTAATGAGGAACATCCTTCCTCAAGAACTTAAGGTCCATTGGCAGAGACAGTCAGAAAACCAACCAGTTAGAGCTATATAACAGAAATATTTAAAATCTTCCACAGGGCACTGAGGAGGGAACAGTCAACAGCCTGTGGAGCTGGGGAAGGCACCTGAGAAGAAAGCACACCAGAATGAGGTCGGAGGGCCTGCTCATCCCAGAGTGAAGGGCAAAGGCTTTCTTTGAAACATCTACTTGCTCTTTAAAACATTCTCATTTATGGGCTGGGTGTGGTAGCGCATGCCTATAATCCTAGCAGCTCCGAAGGGTGACCGCGAGTTTAAAGCCAGCCTTGGCAAAAGCGAGGTGCTAAGCAACTCAGTGAGACCTGTCTCTAAATAAAATATAAAAAGGGGGGCTGGGGTTATGGCTCAGCGGTAGAGTGCTCGCCTAGCATGTTCGAGTCTCTGGGATCAATCCTCAGCACCACATAAAAATAAATAAAATAAAGGCATTGTGTCCAACCAACTATAACTAAAAAATATTTAAAAAAATATAAAACGGGCTGGGATGTGGCTCAGTGGTCGAGTGCCCCTGGGTATACATATACATATACACATACACACACATATATATAAATATTCTTATTTATGGACACACTGACAATAAGGCATTTAAATGAAATGATACACACACGAATCTTTCCATCCTGATTAAACACCAAGGCTCCCTGTGGCTGGAGGTAACAGGCCTGGGACACTAACTGCCCCATCCCTCTTGGCCTCCTAAGAATGGAGGGCCTCTGGATCTCAGCATACCTGTCACCTGTGTGCATGACAACAGCATGTCAAGGCACACCTGGAGGAGGTGCCAAGTAAGGATTCACTGGGCTGCTAGTAACGAAAAGAACTCAAACTGGCTTGAATAACAAGGGGTCTCATTGTCCCATACGACAAAAAGTGCATGACTGAATGGCCCGCGTGCAGACTGTCAAGGCCTGCCTCTGCTTCTCTGCCATCTTTTTGGCTGTGCCTGTCCTGGGTATTGGCCTCCCCTTTAGGGTGGTGGCAAGATGGCCACACACCGCTAGATACCATGTCCAAATGTGATAAGGTCAAAAGAGGAAGAGAGCTGTCCTTCTTTGTGTGTCTTATTTCTCTTGGTGACAAAAGCTGCCCCTGAAGCCTAAACAAAGTTTCTCCTCATAGTCCTTCAGCCAGAGTCTTGTCAAGTATCCTCACCAAGCCAAATTCCTGATACAGGGAAATGGGACACCATGATCAGCTTAGACGAAGCAGGAAGACCTCGGGGAGATATGGACAGGATGCATCTTCTCTGAGACACACAGGAACTCTTCAAGCAAGGGGGAAAGTGGGACTGCCAAGTTGGGCAGGCCACCAGGAGGGGCTGCTAGACAGCACAGTGAGGAAGGAGGGCACACATCCTGAGTCAGGTGGTGGGCTCCAATCCCCTTACCACTTACTAAGTGGGTGTGTGAGCTTCAGTTTTCTTCTGACCAAAACAAGGATAGTAAATAAGAGTTCCCAACTCAGAGGATCGCTGGAAGGATTAAATCAGGATTACATGTATAGTCCTTAGAAGAGACTCTTGCTCAATACACATTAGTGGTCATCTCTGGCATAGGTTATAACAGCTAGCAAGGCCACGTATGTGGCGCACACCTGTAATCCCAGTAGGTTGGGAGACTGAGGCAGGAGGATCACAAGTTCAAAGTCAGCCTCAACAATTTAGCAAGGCCCAAAGCAACTTAGTAAGACTCTGTCTCCACACACACACACACACAAAAAAGGATGTGGCTAAGTGCCTCTGGGTTCAATCCCTGGTACCAAAAGTAATAATAATAACAAAACAACTATCAAATAATAGACCTGTGGACAAGAGAGGATCTCTCTGATTAGCACTGTACTCAGGCATTCGGTAAGTTTATTTGCCTTTCTGCATATTAATAACTTAATTGAAAGTCCACGGCTTCTTATTGCTAGCAAAAAGATGTTACTATAGGTAACATTCTGCAATTAGAAATACTTTCAAGGTATTGAAGACATTACTGCAAAAATAAAAAACTTACTGGGTAGCGGGTAGAGCTCAATGATAGAGAACTTGCTTAGCATTCATGAGGCACTGGGTTCCTTCCCCAGTACAACAACATCAACAAAAAATTTACTGCGCAAAAAGATAACATTTTACAATTGGAAATACTTAAAAAAAATCTCTTACCCCTGGAAACTAAAAGAGAAGAAAGATAATCATTATTATCTACAGTGAACACTTGCTGAGCTGTTAATGTGTGCTGGAACTGCTATAAATACCTTACTTGCATTATCTCACTGAATCCTAAAACTAAGCTGTGGAGTCACATTTATCAGCAATACACTTAAAACTAAACTCAAATAAAACATGAGTTTGTTGTTTAAACTGTAGAGTTTTCCAAAATCTAGTATTAAATGAAAACCAGAGCTACTCAAGTCTTAGTTCTAAGCCAGGTTTTCTCCCCTTCCTACCCCTTCACCCACCCCTATTTTAGTGCCTCTGAACTCAGGGTAGATCCTACAACCCTGCTCACATTTGAGTACTGTCGTCCCCCACTCCCTCAGGGTGCGGTCACCTTGGGTGGCCACTCACAGGAGCCAGGAATGGCATCCCTTCCAGCCATCTTGGGGTCAGGTTCCATGCTCTCCTCGCTGACCAAGTCCATGCTGAGGAGGCACTACTGTTATGGAGGGCCTTCACATGGGAACACGGGGACCACATGCATTATTATGCTTCCTCTGGTGGCTGGGAGTCAAGGAATTCTCATTTTAAACTGTAGGTCTTCTGTGGGACAGTTTGGGCCTGAATGTTGGAGACTAAGTGAGATGTCCCCAATCCTGCAGTTGGTTTGTAGTCAAGATTTATCACTTTGCTTCATTCCAAGGACCAAGTAATAAACTGGAAGTTCAGAGATGCCACTTCAATCCTGGTGTACAGCACTGATTTGCTGAGTGCTGTGGGCAGTGACTGAAACACCCTGGGCTCTCCTTCATCTGTTAAAAATCATCACTGTCCCCGCAGAAGGCCTATGGATATTAAAAGTAACTAATGAGATTGTTTCGGTCCCAACAGCTCATGCTTTCTCCCACCCGTATCTGTTTCCTCCTTTACCACACACGAAGGCCCCGATCTCCCACCCCGTTAATGACTCAGCTTATTAAGGAAATCAGCTACTTGCCTGGCAGCTACCATGGTTCTGCTTCATTACTTCTTGAATTAATTTCATTTTCCTCAATCTTCTGTAAGAATATATTCAATTTCAAGAAAGGTAGATGTTAAAACTCAGCAGCAGAAGCCAAGTTCACATGATCCGTGGCAAAGCCTCTCACTCTCCTGCCCCACAAACCACATCGGTTCCTCCCACTCACTCTGTCAGTGGCTCCCCTGTGACCACAAAGTGAGACCCCAACTCCCAACTCTCCACCATCAGCCACCCACAGCTGCAGCCCCAGGTTCCATCTCTGCTCCTCCCACCGTGAGCACCAGGCACAGCCAGCTCTTCTGCATCTGCCATGATATCTGCTCTGCACTGTCTGAGGACTGGGATCGTAAACGTGAGGATACGGGGAGTTCCTGGATCTGAAGGGAAAAGGCCTCGGGCCTGAGGACAACAGCCTGGCCCCTTTCTGGAAAACGGGATGGGCTATAGCAGATACAGAGCTTGGTGGTTCCTGCCAGCCTGGGGTATGGGGTGTGTGTGAAGGAGAGGGAGAGGGAAGGGAAAAGTACAGGGAGGGGACAGGAAGAAAGAAGAGGGAGAAGGAGGCAGAGGCAGCAGGACGCAGTAAACGGACCTGCCTGACTCTTCCACTACCAAGTTCACCAACCTCCCTGTGCCCACTCCATGGATGCTCTCCTGAAAGTGGCCCCCAGTCCTCTCTTCCACTTCACCCAGACCGTTCTCATCACAGACAAAGGTGCTGATACTCTGCGCCCTGAGACATCCCCATCTGACTCCACACCTCCTCCAGCAATCTCCCTACAGCCTGCTGTCTCTAGGGCAGGATTCCTTGCAGGAGCTTCCTATACCTGGTATCTTAATGCTCTTACCCACATCTCTCCTAACCCACTGCAATGACACCTTCTCTCTCATTATTCTATCACAATGGCTCTTTTCCAGGGCACCAGCGACCTCCACTCAAACAAAACCGTCTTCCAGCCTCGGTCCTCATATATTCCACCCAGCAGCTGGCGTACACTGCCACTGTACACTCCTCACTCTTCTTATTGTCTCTCACTTCTTCCACAATATGCTCCTCCAGTACCAAGACTTTAAATAATATCTGTATCCTAAAGACCAAACCCTGGCCCCCATTTATATCCCTAGTTCTGGGCTTCCTCTTGAAGTCCACTTACATTTCCACTTGGATATTCCAAACAAATTTAAAACCAACCTTGATTTTCTCCTTTGAACTTATTCTTTCCCTGGCATCCCCATCTCAACAAAATGGCACCAACATTTTGTTCAGCTCCAAAACTTGAACTTGTTCTTAATTCTTCGTTCTCTCAAATCTGACCTATAATCCATTCCAAAATCTCAACAGTCCTACCTTCAACATATCCCAAATCTGTATCCCAATCTGAACACTTGTTCACCATTCACTGCTGTGTACCCACCCCAAGCTACCTGGGGCCTCTTTACCACTCCATACACCTCATTCTCCCCTGACCTACCTTCTTTCTCTTCCCCCAAGTCAAGAGTCCATCCCACTTGATTATTCAAGGTATGATTCCAGTCATGCCCCTCCATGCACAAAGCATGCAAATGGCTCCCACAAACTGCTCCACATAAAAAGCCCTGCATGACCTGCTCCCATCTCACCTCTCTGGCTCATTCAGCACCAGCGCCTGTCTGTCTGGCAGCTGTTCTACCTGCTGAGTCACTGCTGGCATGGGCTCTGCTGCCCTGGCCCTCCTTCCCGGCTTCACCTATCCTGGACCGCTGCATTTGCTCACAGCACCTTCACATTGCAGCAATCATGGATTGTTTATGGCCTCCTCCAATGAACTTAAACTTCATACTGGGATGGACTCTGTCTGTTCCAAGCATCGGAATAGTATGTGGCATGTTGTAGGTGATGCCAGATTAAATGAATTAAATTCTTGCACCTGTTTATTTTTCCCCTGAAATGGACACTTTTCTGTTTCTACATAACTCCCTGACTGCCTCCGGGACCTTCTGCCCTGGCCTCCTGGGCAGTACCCCATCCCACTGGAACTCCACTCACAGGAGCAGCCCCCATCTGGCCTGTTCCAGCCTCATGGCAGTTGAGACCTAAGCAGATTCATCTGATCCTCACAGTCATGAGTTCTTCCAGGCACAGACTGTGGATCTGTCTTGCATCCCCAGTGACAACAGATTCTGGCACGCAGTGGCATTAAATACACATCTGTGGGCCAGGTATGGTGGCACACATCTGTAATCCCAGCAAATCAGAAGGCTGAGCAGGAGAATCACAAGTTTG